CCGGATCGAAAAACGAGAAACCAAATCGATCATGTTGTGATAGACGCACCAAAAACTTGGAAAAAAAGCGTTTTACCACACTAAAAGCGCCAAATGGATTGAATTGATGCTTTTCTTATAACAGTTTTTATGTGTTTAACAAAAACAAAAAATTAACAATATAATAAAAATAATAATCCCAACGGGGTTAACCCTCCATTCCCGCCCATCCGCACGAGAGCGCAGTCCGCATGACGTACGGAACCAGTATTTATTTTCAATTTTTGCGCCGAGTCACGATAGGCAGGAGTTTGTTAAGTGTCGAGATCTAAAACTGTTCAGCTACAGAACTAAATTCATCAGGCGATTTTATGTCTTTATTTTAATGATTCATTTATTGAGAGAGGACAGTATCGATTTCTTAATGCTGAAAAGCGGATCTGATATATCAAACGTGCTGGAATGAGAGTTAAAATCCTGGTATAAGCAAAATTAGTTTTACAAGCTTTCAGAAATAGCGGACAAAAGTGTCTTGATACCCGGGAGGGAACATTAAGGTTAACTTCGCCCAGAAGAAGCGGACTTGAAATTGAGCCTGTTAGTAATTTAACTATAAAAATTGTACCAAGCATTTGCCTGCGGCTGGAAAGTGTAGGAAGATTAATAAGTTTAAATCGGCTCCTATAAGGTGGAAGGTTATATTGAGAATTGTTGAATTGAATTGAATTGTTTTTGAATTGATTCTATCTTGTCTGAGTAAATTTGATACCTTGGATTCCAAACCTCCGAACCGTATTCCAGTAGCCCGTTTCTGTAACTTTTCTCTACCGATTATTTCTCTACTGGTAGAAAATATCCGTCATTCTCTACTACTCATTACATTAGCAGTAGAGACCAGGGTCGCGAATTCATATCTCGATTCGCCTTGGTAGAGAATTGTTACAGAAACGAGCTACAGAATTGGCCTAACTAATGTTGTAAACAGGATTTTAGTGATATAAGAGTCACAAAATTCTTTTGGCCATCGTTTCACAAATGCAAGTACACCTTTAGCCTTGTTGACTGTCACATTAATATGAAGATTAAAATTAAGCTTAGGATCCATTGTGATACCAAGGTCCACAAAATTGTATACCTGTTCCAGGTTATGGTTACCTATTGTATAAGAAGCGGGATGAACAGCTCTTCGTTAGAAGCACATTACTTTACATTTCTTAACATTTAGAGGCATAAGATTTACTTGACACCAGTAAGCCAATCTGTTATATTTACAATAATGCATACATAAATCAATAAACAAAACTTTTTCGCTCATAACGATTGAAAAGCCACATGCTATAATGAGTCATGCTTACGACGTAAGACCGAAGTACTGCACATTAAAACTGATATATCTCAAGAAAGAAAAATCGAATCCCAACAAACGAAAATCATGCCCTAAGTAGAAATGACCAAAAAAATGTTTGTTTTCTTTATATAACCTCAAATATCGCCGTGATATTGGCACTTTGAGGTTAGGATATCTCAAAATTCTAGTGCTAGAGCAATTGTGCGGCCAGACTTGGATTCAACACCAAGAAGAAATGTGTTTTACTCAGGTGGTACAAAAATAAAATTTTTTACAAATAATTAGAAACGAACAAAAAAAATTGAACAAGGTGAATTTGCAAGTTCAGCTTTTTATCAATCATGGTTGTATTTAAGTGCATTAAATTTTTAGAATTTTGTAAATTTAGTGCTGCCACAGCTTTAAATATTTAAAAATTATTTCAGGTTTTAACCATATCGGAGTAATTTTTGTTCAGAAAAAAGCACTAAAAAGGCACTAAGTACTAAATAATTTTTTTTTTCGTTTAAATTTTCCAAAATCACTAAATCTAGTGCTTAAAGCACCAAGTTGGCAACTATGGCTATAGGGATCTGACAGAGATTTAGGCGACTTACAGAATGTTCAAGACCAGGGCGTACTCCTGTAAGAATAACAATGGCGACCTAGTAACCGATGTTCAGAACGTACTTAAATTATGGAGGGAACACTTTTCCACCCTACTGAATGGTAGCAGCACGGAAATTTGTGGAAAAGAAGAACCCGAACCCGCAGTCGATGATGACGGAGTCGATGTTCCACCGCCTGACTATGACGAGGTACGAATAGCAATAACGCGGCTGAAAAACAACAAAGCTGCTGGAGCTGACAGCCTGCCAGCTGAGCTATTCAAGTACGGCGGCGGGGAGTTGATAAGGTGCATGAATGTGAGGGGTGAAATAACACAAATTTGTTATTTAGAAGTCTGAGAGTCGGTAAAATTTTACATATTTTTGCATCACTACTTCGTACCACATGTTCGCTTCGGCTTCGGATATGGTGAATCAGTGATGATAATGCAGAAATTTTAACTAAAGATAAAACTCAAAACAATATTCTCTGTGTTATATGCTGCGAACAGGAACGGCAACTTTTGTTTGTTCCATGCCATGGCGGAATTATACAAGGTGAAGTAATTAGAGCGAGAACAAGACTTTGACACTGCCTTATTTGAAAAATTGCTTTAAAATTTTACTATAAGGCAGCCGAATGACAAAAATAAAGCGAGAAAGCTGTTTTATTACTTCATCTGTTTATTGCGCCATGATTCCATGCAAACATTTTAAGGTTTTCCAGCAATGTTTTCAACATATTAAAAAGCATGCAGATAAAATTCATACAAAAGCACTATGTCCAATTTGTTGAGCAGTTATTAAAGACGACTCTTTTCCTATATTTTGTTAGACTTTTCATAAGTAAAAATATTTTTTTGAATATTACTTTCATCATATGAATTATATCAAATTTTTTGTTTAATTGTATTTTTGGAATAAACAAAGTTCTTTTTCCTTCTGTCAGTAAACTGTTTTTGTTAGAAATGGTAATAATAAGCAATGGGAAATAAGACAAAATTTGTTTTATTTCCAACCTTTGTTGGAAATAAAGCAAAACTCAGATTTTGGTATTATTTCCCATTTATAAGTGAAATAAAGCAAATTTTGCGTTTGTGTTACAAACATCAGTGTGGTAATATCACCATTGACATTATTTATATTAAACAAAATTCACTATGTGCTAACTTCTTTGAATTAACTTCAACGAACACAAAACTGGAGGAGTTAAAGGATTAACATGTTTATGCATACAAATTCCCGATTTGTTTATTATTTCGTTATTTGCGAGCAGATATGTACAATGCACTCCCCTAAATTTAGAAAAAAATCTTTTGCACACACATGTTCAATGAGATGACTTTCCGATTTTTGGTGACCCGCAGTAAAATTTTTTCTTAAAATTTCTGTTGAATATTTTAACACTATAACTGCCATTTTTGATGAACTTGCCTGGCAATTCTTACAAATAAGCGTGAAAAAGACTCCTTGTGGTAGGAGTTAATGGGTTAAAATGTTTTATGAAGGAACTACTTCCTAAATTTAAATATAATTATGTCCCTCAAGAGAATAATTGTATTCGAGGTGAATTTGCAAATGAGTTACAGCCCGAACACAATGAAAACGACGAGCTACGGACCACAGCTGTCAAATTATTTTAACACGTATTCTTCTGTAGATAATTATTTTGATGACGACCGGGCTATGTACAATGCACTCCCCTAAATTTAGAAAAAAATCTTTTGCACACCCATGTTCACACTATAACTGCCATTTTTGATGAACTTGCCTGGCAATTCTTCCAAATAAGCGTGAAAAAGACTCCTTGGGGTAGGAGTTAATGGGTTAAAATGTTTTATGAAGGAACTACTTCCTAAATTTAAATATAATTATGTCCATGAAGAGAATAATTGTATTCGAGGTGAATTTGCAAATGAGTTATAGCCCGAACACAATGAAAACGACGAGCTACGGACCACAGCTGTCAAATTATTTTAACACGTATTCTTATGTAGATAATTATTTTGATGACGACCGGGCTACACGGCGACTGTGGTTGTGGCCAGATTAGATCTATTTCTTTTTTTCCAGCGACAGATAAGTTTCTTCCTCTTCTTTTATGTCAAACTCATACAAATTCATGATGTCGCTGCCGCGTTCAAAAAAATCATGTCGCCATCGACAAAGCTTTTAGATAATGAAGATAACAAATTGGAAGCTGTGGCCCGTAGCTCGTCGTTTCCAATGGGTTCAGCACTTTATAATTGAGCTTATGACCAGAACAATTGTCCTTAACCAAATATAAAAAAAGTTTTGACGAGTTGGAGCGAAATCATCTCAGGGTCTGAATATCACGTATGTACACTAGCGTTTCGGCCTTATTTGCCAAGGCCCTAAACAAAAAAAATAATTAATAATTTTTGCAATTTGCAAATGCATATGCTTGTACTTCCCTCACTCCTTGAGAGCAACTGGTGACTGGCGCCCTTACCCCTTTTCGATCTATGTATATATTCCTAGCCCATGAAAATTTTAGACTCGACAAAGCAATACAAACCATATTTTTGTAAACATTTGAAACCCATTTTTACAAAAATCTTTTGTGAGGGTAAATTTTAAAAATATTTGTATTGTATTACTATTTTCGTCCCAAAACAAAACCTTCACGGCATTTTAAATAATTGAAGTGTTGTCTTTTCACTAATGCTTGGGGTGTTTGTCCCTGAATCTTTTAAGGGTCTTCGGCTCAGTAGTTTATGACACGAGCACTCAATCCAATCGAAATATTGTTTACAACCATTAACTGCAGTATTCGTAAATTCTTGTAGACACACAAGAAATTACAAGTTGGTTTAACAAAGTAAATATGCATATTTGGCCACAAAAACTTTCCACAAATGTCCAGAAATTCTTACACAAAATTCACTGCGTAATAAATATCTTCACTAATAATAATGATGCTAAATGGCAGTATCCAAATACACGTAGCAGCTTCACGTCAACGCTTATATGTACACACGTATATGAGAAGAGAATGTATCACTTCACAAAACAGAAAGGATGTTTTCAGCAGTCAGCCAGCTCAAATGTAGCTGTTTACAAACCTCTTTGTCCTTTCGCTCTACTCTACTCAACGTGAATCTATGTACTCTGCTATGCATTGTTTCGTTAATATTCGCTAGTGATAGAAATTCTTATCCTTGTCCCCGTTCTTGTTATCGTCACCATCCTTGCGTCATTGGCGTTTGCCTTCATTTACACGGGGATTCTGCTTGCGCCCGACTTCGTACATTTGCCACGGCACATGCCAAGTTTTACTCAGAAAACCAAAACTTGATGTGCACACAAATTCACTAAAGCAACCCGGTTGGAAATTAACATGTGTTATTTGGCACCGCCCTACGGTCGTCTTATTACACTGTGGAACAATTTAAAGAATTTTTATGAGGCCCTAAAGGAAATAAAGCCTACTGAGAGTCAAAGTCAAATAAAAAAATAATACTAAAAATCATGGTACAATAATTACAGGTATTGTTTTCCCAGAGAGCCCATATTCCGATCTGCCTTATTTGAAAAACATCATTGTTGCCCACACTAAAAGGTTTACTGCTAGGGAAAAGAGATATTTCCATACCCATATACTATGTATGTACACGTATTTTTTTAAACAAACCTTCTTGCAGAGGAATTATTTAATTTGCAAAAGCCGAAAAAAAACATTTGCTTAGTAAATAAATTCAAAATTGGTATGGCTCACTTCATTTCAAATCTTTTATCTTTTGTTTTGAAAAATTATAGAAATTAAATTAAGTGAAAACAAAAAGCAAAGCCAAGTAAAAGGAAAAGAATCAACATTGAACTGCATCAAAATTAAAATAAGGGAGCACGAATTTCGATGTGAACAAAACTCTCTGGGAAGACAATACCTGTAATTATTGTAAAATGACTAAAAATCAAGGCACATAAATACAGGTAGAATATAAAATGACATTGCTCTCATGAGAACCAGACCTTTAAACTTCAACTTGGTTTTCTTTTATTTCCTATATTTCATTACGATTTAAATGTCATGTCGTTTGTTTTTTTTTTTAAATGTTCGTTAAAAAAAATTTTAATTAACATTTGAATTTTTAAAGCGTTGTGCTGTTTATACTTAGTGTATGTGCTAAAAATGCAACACCTGAAGCATTGTTTTTATGTGATGTTAAATATAAATCAGATACCACTAATTTTTTAACGTGCCTCAATGTCCTTCGCGTAAGGAGCGTTGCGAAAGCAGCTGTGGGGCAGAGCTGCAACGAAATGCCTTGCTGTGCGTTAAACATTTTAAAGCAGCAGATTTTATAAATTACCGGGAGGTACAGGGAAAGCACGTTTGATGCCAAGTGCTGTTGCTATGACTCTTATGCCGGAAAGTCCCTCCAACAACACTGCAACTCATAAATCAAAGACAGAAAACAACAAACAAATTAACAAATTGTAACTAAAGAAAATAAATAAATAAAATTAAACTTCAAATTTACTTAAAAACGCCAACCAGTGAAATATACAAGCCGAATTTATATAAGGTGGTGTTGTATCATCAGCTGTGACTAGCATTTGATTGTCAAATTTTTGTATTTCGCTAGTGAGTGAGTGAAAACGTGAGAGTGTTTGTATTTTCTGTCGCCCTTTTTCATTCGGGGAAGAATAGCTGAAATTTGACAATGGCCCACTAAAAGCAAAACAAAATACAAGTAATTGTTGTATTTGTTGAATCGATACCACCTTATATGTATTCGCCTTGGAAATATAATTTTTTATTTTTCCTTACACACGCTCATTTTTATTTTTATTCTCCCGAAAACTTTGACTTTTGTAGGTTTGACGTCAAATTGGCTTCTACCTGTTTTTATTGTACCATGACTAAAAATTATGATTCAATAATGAAAGGTTTTGTAAGAAAAACTTTCTCTCGCTCTAATTTTATCAATGACACTCCCACCCCACTCCCAAAAACAAAAACAGTGATATTTCTTTTGCAAATATCTTTGCAGGTTTAAAGAACATTTTTTAATTTTTAGTAATGAAATTTTTACTTTTTAAATTTGAAGAAATGTTTGTTCTTCATTCGCTGGCGACAAACAGACAAAATGGGTGGACTACAGAAATTCAATGTAGGCTAAAGAGACGAAATTTCCTTAAATGCCGATATTCGTGGAGACCTATTGATTCTGCTAAGGCTCTGTAAAGTAAAGCGCACAATGGTTCTGGTAAATGAGTAAACGAAGATATTTAGGTATTGACCTCCACAACACAATCTTGCAGTGGAATTCTGACAATCGCAACGCTAAATTTCCATCGCTAAGATTCTCTAAATTAAATGTCGTGGGGCATAAAATTACGCAATATGGAAAAGTAACAGAAGCAAAGTGTAATCAGGCAAATCTGGCCATATGAGGGGCATGTAACTAAACGTTGCATGTTGTTAAGTGCGCCTGCTATTCTTTTGGAGACCTTTAGCGATCAAAATTAGCGATAGCGAATGCTGGATTCCGGCTGCTGGTTTCTCCGAATGAGACTCTGACGCAATATAATATTAGCAAACCACGTCCATGGGGCCAATCGTAAAACACGACAGCTCGGTTTAGTCAATGGTGCGATATAATTGCACACTTAGGCTATCTGCACACTTTTCGTCCAATCATAATTGCGTTATCGTCTCGCCCTGAAATTTTGAGCCGAGCACATGCATGTCAAAGGAGATCTGCACACTTGTCGTTATCGGCAAATCGTAGAAAGTGCAGAAACGGATAAGTACGGCACTGTCGTTTGCTAATCGTTGTGCACGCATTGTTTGTTTACATTTTATGGGGAAAAATTAGTGAAAAGGTTAATATTTGCATTAAAATTGCATAAAAATTTTTATCTTTTGCATAAAATTTGTCGAAATTATTAAAAAGTGGATAATTGCAATAAAATTCAATATACGCGAGCGTTTTAAGTATAAAATATGACGAAATTGTAAAAAGTCTCTGTGTGCATGCACAAAATACATTTCAGAAAAAGAAAAGAAGAGATATTACTGAAAAATTGTGTTTAGAATTGTTGCAGCACAGTCCATATTTTAAAAATTGCAGGTTTTTGTAAATATTTTGCGAAAATATCAACCAGAAAAACAGAAAATACCTGCTCCAAGTGAATTTTTAGACGCCAAATGAATTGAAATATCACGACCGAGTGTGCGTAAATGTAGTCGTTATGTAATCGTTGCATCATGATTGGGACGACCAATGTGCAGAAGCCTTACGGCACTTCTCATTTGACGATGTAGATCACGTTCCCTGCCAAGGCGTATTTAACAAGGTGGTGTTAGCCGTATTTAAGTAAAAAATTACACTAACAAATTATATGCAGATATCCATACTATCATTAGTATGAGTTACAACAAACACATCATTTTGACGTAATGCCCTCCGCGGCGAAAAACTCAGCTGTCGCCCCAACATCACCTTGTTAAATACACCTTGGTGTAAGCCAATTTTTAATATTCTGACGGCGGCACAATCGAGCCATAAACGCGAAAGAAACATAAGCTCCAAATGTTTTTATTAAGCGTTTTTTAACTATATTCAATGTAAATAAGCTGGTTTAAATAAAATAATTAAATCTAATTCGTTTTTGTATTAAAGCACCACGATGCGCCATTATCCACGCCTTTTTGTAGAATTTCGCTACCATTTAGGAAGTGTGATTGAATTCTTCCCCTTTTTCTCCTGCTTCCAAAAACCATCACTATGGGTGGGAGTGTCAAATTTTAGAAAATAGCTACTTACAAAACCTTTAATAACTGAATCATGACTAAAAATCATAATTTCGGCCGGAAGCCTCTGCTGCTGGCGCTGTGTTATATGGTTTAAGTATATGATACATCATTGTTATTGTTATGTACGCCTTTAAAAATAAAATAAAAACCACAAAAAATCATAATTTAACCGTAAAAATGAATATTTAGTTTTCCGATTAAAACAAAAAATTGATGGAAATGAGACAAATTGCATTCATTTAGGGAGGTCAAGATATATATAAATACCAATGGATTTGTAAAATTTGGTACCATTTTTAACCGACTTCCAAAAAAGGAGGAAGTTATCAGTTTGTCGGAATAATTTTTTTTTTTTTTGAATGTTACCACATAACCGCTCTGATTATAATACAGATTTCCCACGGCACCGTGAATTACTATCATACAATTCACCCTGAGCATTCTCAATTCGATTTAACACTTCTCTGTCTCTGTGATATATGTATGTTTTTTTAAGCTACAATAATGTAAGTTGTTGTTAAAATTTTATAAATTGTGAGTCAATTGACAATGTATATATTTATCAACTTTACTTTTAGTACCCAGAAAAGATTTCAGTTTTGATTTATCGATAAATCTCCGATAAAAAATATGGAAGTCATCAATTTGTTCGTAATTCGCACCTTAATTAGATCTCAATTCCCTGCAAATGAGGTAGTCCGCTCTCAAAATTTGGGTATGGCGAATTACGTAATTCGAAAGGTAATTGGAGGCCGAATTACGAATGAGAGAGCGAACTACGTATTTGGGGTGGCGTGGGAAAGCCGCATAACATCCACACGATTGAAGTAATTTTCTAATTCTAATTTTTATTCAGGGCTATCACTGAATCCATCGTGGAAAATCTACGAATTCGAATGCCTGCTACTAATACGAAAAAATTGCTATCATTGAATCTGAGTGAACTCGAAAATATCTTTGCCAGCTTCGAATGGTGCATTTTGATGATTCGAAATCAGCTGGTGCAAAGGAAACAACATTCATTTATGTATGTCATTTTGCTCACGCTGCCCCAGCAGTGGCAATGGCCGAGTGTTGGCAGTCAGTGTTGCCATTTTCACGCCGATTGGAGTGTTTCAGTCCTTTTTTAAGCCGAACACTACGTCACTCCTTCTATTGCAAACACATTCCGATTTTGAGATTATCAGAACTAAAATTTACCACGAAATGAATGACCATATATCTACTACGTTTACACGTAAGCTATTTGCAAAAAAACAAAAGAAAGTACCTTACTCACTGTTCATGGTTAGGTTAGGTTAGGTTGAAGTGGCTGCTAGGCCCAGAGGGCGCCAGCACACTTAGGCCCGATCAGGGCCCATTGTGATACCACATGGATCCAAAGAAAACCCCTATTCCTTAAACCAGTTTGTGGAGTCTGCAAACCTTAGCAACTGCCGTATTCCAAACTTAGCAGTCGCGCTTAGATCGTCTAGAAGACCTATACCTAGGAATTTCTGTCTTTTCCTGCCCAGTGCTGTTCAATCGCAGAGTAAGTGCCTTATTGATT